CCGGATAAATCCCTACCCAGCGGATAAGTATAGTTTAAAGGCATTCGATTTCTACTGCTGACCAGAAAGATCAGCCCAACTGCGTTATCCACTGGATAGGTTTATCCAGTGAATAACGTTACTCAGACTTTATTGTTGAAAATAACTCCAATCAAAGGAACCTATTCTCGGCAACAAAGAGGTTGCTAAATCAAGGTCATGAAGTACCTTTTCCACCAACTAGTGACAAGTTGGTTTTAGCCAATGAAATAGGTAGATTCTTTGTTGAAAAGATTGACGCCATCCATGTCAAACTGGACAGACTAGCCGATTGTTTGCATGATTCTCATTTTGACTATGTGAAAACGTTACCAACTAGAACTCTGGACAGGTTTATCCCTTTAACTGAAAGTGCTGTTAGTAAGTTGATTGGCTGCTGTCCGAAGAAAAGCTGTATGTTTGATCCGATGTCAACATCTATGGTAATCAGCTGTGCTGATGTGCTATTACCAGTCATTACTAAAATGATCAACCTGTCTCTTAATTCTGGAGAATTTGCGGATGATTGGAAATGTGGGCTTATTAATCCTATCTTGAAGAAACCTGGATTGGATTTGCTGTACAAAAATTACAGACCAGTTAGTAACTTACAATACGTATCCAAGTTGACTGAAAAAGTCGTTTTTAATCAAGTTTACGATCACATGGTTTCAAATGCTATTTTTCCTGCACTTCAATCTTCTTACAGGCAATTCCATAGCACTGAAACTGCACTTATCAAGGTGATGAACGATATTTTGTTAAAGATGAACTCTCAACATGTCACTATGTTAATTTTATTGGATCTCAGTGCTGCCTTTGACACTGTTGATCATCGAATACTTTTTAGAGAGGCTATCTGACGAGGTTGGCATACGTGGGACTGCTCTGAATTGGTTTAGATCGTACTTGTCCGATAGAAGTCAGCGCGTTTCTGTACATGGAGTTCTTTCTCGTCCTTTTGACTTGAACTGCGGGGTACCCCAAGGCTCATGTTTAGGGCCTTTGGTATTCATAATATATGCGTCCAAGCTGTTTAAGATGGTGGAACATTATCTTCCTGATGCTCACTGTTTCGCTGATGATACGCAGCTGTCTCTGAGTTTAAACCACTCGGCAACACTGCTCAAGCTGATGCTATACAAGCTATGGAAAAGTGTATTGACGCGGTGAGGAAATGGATGATTCAAGATCGGTTGATGATCAATGATGATAAAACGGAGTTTTTGTTAGTCGGCACACGACAACAGCTTGATAAATTAGACTCGTGTTCCATAACTGTGGGCAATAATCGTATCAGTCCAAGCCCATGTGTTAGAAACCTTGGAGCGTGGTTTGACAGCAACTTAAGCATGACTGATCATATAAACAAGGCTTGTAATGCGGCATTTTATCATTTACATAACTTGAGACGTATTAAGAAATACCTGTCGAGAGATTCTTTAATTACTTTGGTTCATGCTTTCATGCTTTCATGCTTTCATGCGTTCATGCTTATAACCAGCCGTCTTGACTATTGTAATGGTTTATTGTTTGGCTTACCAAATGTGCAGATCGCTAAATTACAGCGTGTACAAAATGCAGCAGCAAGACTTATTCTTGGCATTGGAAAGTTTTCTCACATTACACCGGCGCTTTATGAGCTGCACTGGCTGCCGGTTTCTTTGCGTATTGACTATAAGATTTTACTTTTGACTTTCAAATGTATTTATGGCCTAACGCCAACTTATCTTAGCGATCTTATTAGTATAAAATCGAATTCATTATATAATCTTAAGTCTACTGGTAAGCTCTTATTGGACCATCTGGGGACCATCCCAAGGGAAAGATGCTTACAACATTGGGAGCAAGATCATTCTTAGCAGCAGCTCCGAAACTCTGGAATGAGCTACCTGTGGAGCTTCGTCAGGCAACATCACTTAACAGTTTTAAATCTCGACTTAAAACCTATCTTTTTAAGAAGTATTTTTATAGTTTGTAACTTAGTTTATTTTATTCTCACGGTAATGTATTTTCGTTTTCTTTTAAACATGATTGTAAAGCGCTATTGATCAGCACATGTAAATACGCGCTATATAAATTGGTAAATTATTATTATTATTATTATTTATCGATTGAACGACCGCTGCCTTGTTCTTACATGCTTGTGCGCATGTTATCGTTCCACTGTGTGGCTTTACATTTTTTTTCGATAAAATCGACCAGAGGGTAGATGTTATAGCCCACCAGCGTCAGCAACCGTGGTGTATAGTCCCGGACTATACCTAAGTTTTATCTAGGTTATGAGTTCTGCATGGTAGGATATAGATTTATGAGTCATTTTTCTCAGTCTGTGTGAAAAGGAAATACTGTAAATCCCCTATTAGTGCCCCCTCGAGGATATACCCCTCCCTCTAATACTACTTAAGCCGCCTCTTTTCAAGGGAAGAAAGTCAGTAACCCCCCCTCTCTCTTAAGCCTCCCTCCCCTTCCCTCATTATTCTTCAGTAATAAATGATAACTGCGTGTGTGGACTGATCCGGGATGGTTTATTTACCAACTAAATATTCGGATCTGATTCTAATCTTCAACTGCATGTCCTCCAAGGTTCCAACCTTCTTGTACTTGAGCTTATCCACTTTGTATTTGAGTTCTTTATGGAGAACTGATACCAAATAAGCCTTCTTGTTATTCCCCCCCCGGGGGGTAGGGAGGGGGGCTTAATAGAGGATTTACGGTAAATGTCTGTTTTTAGACACCCTTTATGTGCCTTGCAACAAAGAATGCAAGGGAAAAGGTTTTTTCTGTTGGACACTTTTCAGCGGTAACTCTCACTGAACGTTGAAGTATTATTATGTATATAAAAAGATGTCGCAACTTGACTTGTGAGAAAGCTTACATGCCTTACTAGAATTTAGTTTAGTGTTACATTTTGTATCGCCTCATCTCCCTTTAATAAAACCTTTTAATATTTCGCGTTAAACGTTGTTTGCATGGGCTGTTTAGCTCGTCAACACTAATTTCTCGAAAAGTTAAACGGCCCTCTTACATTTTTTCTGGAGGCTTTATCGTCAAGCTTCACGGTACTCAAAACACAGAACAATTCATATCGACCATATGCATGCTGCTGTTCACGGTTCCTTGACTTATGGCTGCCAACTTGTTAAGAAATCGAAATTTATGCAAAAATGAATAAATTTAATAGTAGGCGACGTCACCGGAGAAGTCTCTCTCCCCCGCGCCCCCCACTGGTTAGGAGGTGGAGACGTATGACATTTCAGATTTAGTTCTCGAAAGGTAAATATCACAGAGAATTTTCATTATAGAAAAATTAGATCATAGATAAGAAGAGATGTTGAAATCGCATACATTGATAGAAACATTGGATACTACTTACCAAAATTGTAATTGCCAGTGACCGACATCAACTCCTCTGACCTAGAAGTAAAAAGAGAAATTCAAGCTGCCACAAACGCATATGGTGCCCCTCTGTCAAAATTAAAGATGTACAATGCCGCTATATACTATTACGCCATCTGTACTAAATTCTCGGCATAGATAGCAGGACGGAATTCCTGATGTAGAAGTACTTAGGAGGCCTGACCCTGTTACTATGAAAGCTCTCATCAACTCAAATGACCTTTCCTCAGCTTCGCTGGGACATTTTAACGGAATAAACAACTTAAGTCTTTCAAAAAGCGATATTTATGGTAATGTGTCGGAAAAGGACACATGACAGAGATATGAGTGTCTTTATAAGTTTTATATCATTATACAGTAACTCTTTCATCATTGCCGGTAATAGCAGCATGTAGGTCGTGTGTCACATACGAACCCAGTAAACGACTTAGTAGCCTTACCATCAGTGTCTCTGTATCATTATACAGTACTCTTTCATCATTGTTGATCCTAGCAGTATGTAGAACGTGTCACATATGAACCTAGTAAATGGCTTAGTAGCCTTACCATCAGTGTCTCCGTATCATTATACAGTACTCTATCATCATTGCTAATCCTAGCAGTATGTAAAACGTGTGTCACATATGAACCTAGTTAATGGCTTAGTAGCCTTACCATCAGTGTCTCTGTATCATTATACAGTACTCTTTCATCATTGCTGATCCTAGCAGTATGTAGGACGTGTGTCACATATGAACCTAGTAAATGGCTTAGTAGCCTTACCATCAGTGTCTCTGTATCATTATACAGTACTCTTTCATCATTGCTGATCCTAGCAGTATGTAAAACGTGTGTCACATATGAACCTAGTAAATGGCTTAGTAGCCTTACCATCAGTGTCTCTGTATCATTATACAGTACTCTATCATCATTGCTAATCCTAGCAGTATGTAAAACGTGTGTCACATATGAACCTAGTAAATGACTTAGTAGCCTTACTATCAGTGTCTCTGTATCTTTATACAGTACTCTTTCATCATTGTTGATCCTAGCAGTATGTAGAACGTGTCACATATGAACCTAGTAAATGGCTTAGTAGCCTTACCATCAGTGTCTCCGTATCATTATACAGTACTCTATCATCATTGCTAATCCTAGCAGTATGTAAAACGTGTGTCACATATGAACCTAGTTAATGGCTTAGTAGCCTTCCCATCAGTGTCTCCGTATCATTATACAGTACTCTATCATCATTGCTAATCCAAGCAGTATGTAAAACGTGTGTCACATATGAACCTAGTAAATGACTTAGTAGCCTTACTATCAGTGTCTCTGTATCTTTATACAGTACTCTTTCATCATTGTTGATCCTAGCAGTATGTGGGACGTGTGTCACATATGAACCAAATAAATGGCTTAGACGTGTTGCCATCAGTGTCTCCGTATCATCAATCAGTACTATTTCATCATTCCTGATCCTAGAAGTATGTAGAACGTGAGTGTCTTTTTTCTTTTTTGGATTCCCTTCAGCAACTATGGAGGATCTACGTGGAGTAAGCGTACAAACGCCTGCACCTGGTGGAGACTTTCCAGGGCCATCAAGAGAAATACAGCAGCACGAAGCAAATTTTGAGAGGCAGCTGAGAGAGATGCGGCAACGCGGAGAAGACTTAGAAAGCCAGCTTAGGGAGATGCGGCAACGTGAAGAAAACTTACAAAGGCAGCTGAGGGAGACACAGCAAAACTCACAAAGGCAGCTCAGGGAGATGCAACAACGTGAACAAAATTTGCAAAGACAGCTGAGAGAAAAAGACGAGGAAGTTAAGTGAACAGCAACAACAGGAATCATGCGATTGGGTCATTTCCCGCGATGAAATTCAAATGACCAATAAATGCCTTGGCACGGGAGGCTGGGGAAGTGTTTATGAAGGCGTATATTGTGGCTGCACTGTAGCAGTAAAGCAAATTCATGATCTGATTCTCTCCCCTCATAACATACGTCTTTTTGAGAGGGAAATGAATATTGCATCCAAATGCCGCCATCCTCACTTGCTTCAGTTTATCGGCGCCACTAACGATGAAGGAAACCCTCTGTTTTTGACCGAGCTGATGGAGAAAAGTCTGCGAGCTCTGTTAGAACAGCGACAACTCGCCGAAATAGAAATACGCGTAATTTCTCTGGATGTAGCCCGAGCAATTAACTACCTTCATCAGAAGAAACCAGAGCCAATCATTCACCCGGATGTGAGCAGTGCAAATGTGTTGCTATGGCGACAGGGTGACCAGTGGAGAGGCAAAGTGTCAGATTATGGCACTGCTAATTTCATGCAGCAGACCATGACAGTGGCTCCTGGAGCTATGATTTACAGCGCTTCTGAAGCACTTACATCACACCAAACAGTCAAGGTTAGTTTTAGTGAATTTAGAATTTTTCTATTCTGCACTGGTTCATCAACCCCTCCAGACTTCAAAGAGACGCGTTGGTGCAGTCATCTTGAGCGCGTAGCTACTTGAAAGCCAGGTTTATCGTTACTCACACGAACGAAACCCTACCCCACTTTACCCTTCTTCACCTCGGCATGTAGTTAGAAGCAGAAAAATAATGTTGAATGCGATAGCCCCTTTGCAGTGTGGATTGGCAATATCCCTTGCAGCTAAAGCGCCGGTCAATCGGTGGTACCGGTGATAGCTTAAACCATCACTATTTGAACTCAAATGTTTATGGCTCCATTATTATGGTCGTTCTCAGGTGTTTATGCCATGAGAAAACAAACTTAAGCTGCAAGCGTCTGTTGTGATTTAAATGTTTCCCATTAGTTCTTCAGTTAATCATACTGGCGACTTCGCAGATGAAACTGAAAGAGTCGACCGCCTTTGAGACAGAGAGAGTGACGTCCCCGCTTAGGAATTAAGCTGCTGACCATTGTAATTTACCCTCAGTGGGGCCATCCGGAAACAATGTCGGTAATGCTAATAAGATATCACAGGCTCAGTCCGAGGCGGTAGGAGAGGGTTGCTCCTTCTTGATAGCTACAATCACTGACAAAAGTTTCTGTACATTTGTCTTAACGTGCGCTTTAATGAACAATTTCTTGAAGTAAACCATACAACTTTAAATTCCAATTCCCCTGGGTATTACATTCATCCCAAGAGAAATCGAAAACAATGGTTATGCAAAATTCTGTGAAGTAAACATGGTGTATTATGGTCTCGGTGGAAAGACTGAATTAGGAGGAGAGCGCTAATTAACTTTCCTCCCTACAGAACGGGCGCGTAATTGAGTAAATACGGTATGCTCTAGACTTTACATTCCTTTATCTACTGAATTTGCTAAGAAACAGAAACAGTCAAATGGAGACGTGAACTGACCGCCCCCCCCCCGCTCAATTTGAATAATTCTTCAAATCATACTCAGCTTCATGAAGTAATTGCCAAATAACCAAAGGAATAATAAAAATGACGCTGAGTGGTGGGTGTATACTGGAAGTAGTATAATAGAATGTTCTAAGGCAAATAACGAGAAATAATCTGTGTATCGTTCATAGGTTGATGTTTATAGCTTTGGTGTGCTTCTTTGTGAAATGTGCATCCACGAACTTCCAGATCCGAGAAGACGTGAACAGCAGGTACGGCGATGCTTGCAGACAGATCCTGAAGCGAGACCAAACATGCAGGAGATATATAACCGATGAACTATCAAGAGCTGTGTAACGTCTATCAACTATTTTGTGAAAACTTTCGCAGTTGATAGAATTGAATTGTTAAAATGTCTATTGCAGGAAGTCGTGTCCAATTGTTTATCATGACAAAAGTATTACTAGGAAAACAATTACTTAGGTTAAAAACAAACCACTTATTGGAAGTAGCGAGGAATTTTCTGTAATTTTTTAGTAATGATACCCAAAAGTCGTACAGCTGTATATATTTTTCGGACTTCCCATCGTGGTTAATAGCAAATGCCTTTTTTGTGGAGTAACGTTGTTAAAAACAAGTTAAATTGACCACTCCAGACTGAAATACCAAAACATACCATAATGTTCTTTGTTTGTTACCCCAAAATTTTGCATAAGCATTGTTTTCAGTTTCTCTTGGAGCCATTTTTACTCGAAAGAAAAACTGAAGACAATGCTTATGCAAAATTTTGGGGTGACAAACAAAGAGCATTATGGTATGATATGGTATTTTCTGGAATGGTCAATTATAAGTCTGGGAGAAAACCGCTGAGACGCTAGTCTATGCCCTAAGCTTGGTTATACGATGGTTATTAAATTGAAGCAATTTTTTATTTTTTATTTTTCCATATACAATAGATTACGTTACTTGAAAAATGTTTTTATAGGGGGGGGGTGGGGGGTTGACGCTGTGTCACACCCAGGGTACTTACAAGATTAGCATGTCGGCATCCTGGCCGTTTTCTACTACAAGTGACATTGTTTTGGATGAGCAGTGAGATAGTTGCATGGATTAATTAAGTTCCACGTGGCATAAATTACTCTATAATTTTAGTTACGAACAAGAACGAACATGTTCTATGTACCTACTTATTATGAAGTTGGCTGTAGAGGTAAAATTGACGGAAGATACCGGCACATGTGTCGCCTATATAAAACTTCAATTTAGGATATACCGTTGAATCCGTCGCGTAGTAAAGCCCATTAGGTCAAAGTTTCCTATCCAAAAGGTAACTTACCTATAAAATAGAATTTACCTAAATTCGTACTGTTGTAGTTATCTGCTTATGAAGTAGACAATGTTGAAATAGAGAATATCGAGTAAAGAAACGATTGTATCAGTTTTTGGCTTATGAAACGTTTTACGCCGATCGAATCTGCGGAGAAGCTAGCACATTAAGCGATTATAATGTTAGAGTTTCCTATCCAATGGATAACTTTCTTGTAACAACAACGCGCTTACAACGGCATGCAGGTCTCGCCTGCTTGGAGATTAGATCTAGAAATAAGGAGGCGATTAATTCTACAAGAAACGTGATTTACTCGCTCGCTAAAGGTTTTTTACTTCCTACGTTATCGACGTCGACACTTTTTGTTTCTGAATTGATTTAGTACGCGTGTTAGCGACGACCAAAAATGCCTCTCCGGTAGCAGGCTATGCGCGTGTATAAATACACGAAAATTCAAGGGCCTCGATTCCAAAGAAATTACACCATTGCCAGATATCGAAAAAGTGATTTACATGGCACGTCATGTCAATCATGGCCGAAAATAAATCGCATGCTCATCACAAGACTCATTTGCATACAGTGAAAGTTTACAACACCCGACCATCGCAATTTTGCTAATTAACATTCTTATTTTTCTTCGACCACTCAGTATTGTTCACTTACTCCAAAGTAATCAACGGTCTCCGCAAGGAACGTTTGGTACAATGACCTGCCTTTTGTGTCCTAAATTACGACCAAAAATTCTAGGGGGTACTTCCAGAAAAATTGGGAGGGGGTGTGCGGCACGTTTCCTGAAACCCTTACCCCATTTCAGACCAAAATCTGTGATTTCCCCTTCCCTATTTCAGACCTGATCAAAAATTTGATACCCTATTTCAGACCTGAAGCCCTGGAGCCCGGCGCGTGACAACACGTTACGGCACGTACACGGTGGCTGGCGTAAACATTAATAGACTGTTCACAGTTCCCTATTTTTTTCGTGAGATCGTTTAGATATACCGCGTTTTACTGTCACAGCTATCTTGATTTTCAGATGCACCGAGGGGGCGGGCGTCGGGCATTATATCTCGGTGGGGGGGGGGGCTCGCTTTCTCCCAAACCGCCCCCGCCCCCTAGGTAGTTTTGACACTCATGCAAGATGGGTAGCCCGTAACGCAAGGCTCTCGATCTCGATGACCTTACGGAAAAATTGAGGACTGTGAACAGTCTAAAACAGTAAAAGAGAAATGGTCTTATCGCCAAATGATGAAGAAGTATCTAATTCTTCTAAAAAAACATACCCAATTCAAGACTAGAGTGCACAAACCATACCCTTTTTCAGACCAAAATGGTCGAAATTGATACCCCATTCCAGACTAAAACGGCTAAAAAAAACATACCCTTTGGCGCGGCACATACCTATATAGCCTATATAAGGGACTCCCCCCCCCCCCCTGCCCCGCGCCGGGGCGAAAAACGCGTTGCAGATTATGAGTCTCGCTGCTTACGCAAGCGAGACTAAAAAGGAATATACGTTAATTCATAAGTGACTTACTTATAAAGTAGGCCATGCACTTCAAACAGACAATATAAGGAAACGAGTAAGGGACGGACCATTAGAAAAGTTATTGGGGGGGGGGGGGGGGGCGGGCGAAGTAAAAAAAAAATTCATGCAAGAGAAAATTAAGGGAAAAAAAATTCATGCATGCAGAGTAGACCAGGAAAAAAATTCCTGCATTGGCCTTCCTCACATTTTGCACAAATTTTAAGAAGGCATGCAGGAAAGCATACTGTGTGCAAAACATCGGCCCTTTGAATAAACTTCCTTCTGAATTTTGGTCTTGTAAATAATCATACCTGATACAAAAAAATATATCTGAGGCTTGTAAGCTTATCATAAATTTTAATACCTGGCAATTTCAGATATGATTATTAAATAGCTTTAAATAAATTTAATTATACTTTTCTATGTATTATTAAAAATCAACATCTTATAAGGTTATCATTTCTTTACTTTGTGTTATATATCTAATATCTGGAACAAAACATTCCTTTTAAATACCAGAGATAACAATAATCAGAGTATTCCCGACAAATCGAAGGAAACACCCAGAAACACCCAGAATATATATTATTTCTTGGTACTTCTAACAAGCAACAGATAAATAAAAATAATAAAAAAATCTATTTTCTTAGATTTTGTTTTTACAGTTGTTACCGGTCCTTTTAGATAAATGAAACTGACTCAAAGATACATGTTCTTTTCAGACTAGCAGCCTAAAGACTTTCAAAATTTGGTCAAATTTATCTATTTTTACCACACATTTTTAGACAATTTCCGTTCTGGTTCTTGATAATAACAATATCATCATCATAATTGTATTTTATAAACAAGAACTTTAACGTATCAGTATGGTAAGAATATATCATAATTTATCAATGGTAGGGGTATATTGCAGAATGCAAAACACTGAACGCAGAATGCAGAACGCAGAACGCCGAATGATGGTCAGCAGTATATAGCACTGAAAATAGTGATTAGGGATAAGACATGACTATAGTGATTAGCGTTAAGCACTGACTCGAAGTATGGTTAGCTTTTATTTACTGTTAGGGTTGTCACTATATACCGCTGACCATCATTTAGCGTTCTACGTCCTGCGTTCTGCAAAATACCCCTGCTGATTTATCAACATAGTAATAAAAAAATTAATATCTTCAAACTGTATCACAATCTGTCCACTCATCCTCATCTTCCTGTTGTCCTCCTTCCTTGCTATCTCTTTTTGGATTAATTTCTTCCTCATCCACATTTATTGTTTCGGTACATGTTGAAGCTTTCTGACGTTTTCTTCTTGCCTCCTTTAATTTATTTTGCTTCTCTTCCTTGTACAAAGTTTCTCAGCAGTGCTGCTGCCCAATGTTTCTCTGCCCTGGTCAACCATACTACTTACTATGATGGACTATGATGACTATGATGGACTATGGGAGAGGCACAATAAAGGCCAGGGACTCAAAAAAAGTGCAGCAAATGTCCCATCTACTCCCACTGGCTTTCGCCTGTCCCACTGTGTCTATATAGCGTCAGATATTTGATAGTGGTTGGACATAAATTATTTTATGTATCCTTTAAGAGCGCCACAGTCAACTCTTTCTAAGACGGACACCTTTGGGGCCGGTACTAAGTGTCCATCTTAGAGAGATGTCCGTCTTATAAAGAGTCGAATAAAGGGAGTAAAGAAAGGCAGAGACCAACTGTAGGTGTCCGTTTTACAGAGGTGTCCCTCTTGTAGAGGTGTCCGTTTAGAGAGAGTCAACTGTACACTCTTTTAGAATGCCTTATTTATAATGCTGTTTACATGTAAAATTTCAGAAATGCAATATGAACCTGCGCAGTACCAATACACGTACAATACAGGATACCTTGTGTATAAAAGGCTATTGTGAACTGTACCTTAGAAGATGTATCAATTTACTTTCGCATACGTGCCCAGGTAGCCTATATTTAAATTATGCCCTTGGTTAAGTGAACAAGTGAATGATTTAATATGTTTTTAGTCTAGTGTTACTTCAAGGAAAAAAAAATCTTCGTGCACAACATCTTGACAAAAAAAATTAATTCACGGGAAACATTAAAGAAAAAAAATTCCTGCGGCTCGAAAATCCCCCCCCCCCTACCCCTATAACTTTTCTAATGGTCCGTCCCTAAGGCAGATTTTTCTTTCTCTTCCCATCGTGCGTCGCGCGCTCTCTTTTTCTTTCTCCCCAGTCCCCCTACAACTCAAAGAGGTCTCTGCGGAGGAGGTAGTTAATGTAAAAAGCGTTCCTATTCAATACTAGTCACATGTACTATTGTATTCCATCTACATATCACATCATTTTTAGGTTCAAACCATTTTACAATGCGACTGACGGTTAACAATTTGATGAGCTTCCGTATTTTGACTGAGCGAAGATAGTGTTATTATTAGTTACATAAAAAAAAAACAAGAATGCAGAATGGATAAGTTCAAGTTCAAGAAGTTGGAGTTC